AACAGATCATTCAGAACAGGTATTGATTGACCTCAAGGATCATGTGAAGCTGAACGATTGTTTGTTTTGTGTGCTGCATAAATGAACGTACTCCTTCGAGCACTGGCTATTTCCAGTGTAAAGCAAATAGCGAGATGCCGACAGACAGAGATGTGGTTTAGGGAAGCTGGTTTACTACGGCCCCAGCTATAAAGGTGAAAGAGTCAACCACGGCATTTCGGATTAATTAGTATCCGAATCTCCTTCCTCAGCATGTTTGGGAGTTTGCGCCGCTCCGAGTGGCTCTCCGCCTCAGTCTGGCCCTCATCTCGATCGTCAGTGGCATCTGTAAACAACAAGTTTATATAAAGCTCATGGGCTGGAGGGGGCTCTTTGTTCAGATCAAGCCACTGCAAAGCTCTAATCCACTAATTATAAACAGGATTCATCCTCTGCGGTGGATGCCGGGCAGAGCCGGCGATCCGCACCCCCTCATTCTTTTGTCTCCAGATGAAATGCAAGGCAACTTGGGGGCCGATCTCGCCTACATTTGTTTGGGTTGGTGCTCTGTGAAGTCATTGCCCTCTCTCGCTCACTAAGTGGTGAGGCTTGGTTTGTGGTCTGCTAATCTGTGCTTTTGTGAATGAGTATGTCTGTGTTTGGGAGCAGGGCAGAAAAGAGAGAGACAGGCATTTCATCCTAAAAGTCTATCTAGAAATAAGAGTATCGATTAACTCGAGCTGTAAAAGGCTCTAATGCATTGGTTTGTTGACAGAGCAGTTTGGTTGGGTCATTATGTGCCTTTAAAAAGAGCTATTTCTCTTTTATTTTGTCTTTCTTTCTTTCTTTCTTTCTTTCTTTCTTTCTTTCTTTCTTTCTTTCTTTCTTTCTTTCTTTCTTTCTTTCTTTCTTTCTTTCTTTCTTTCTTTCTGTCTGTCTGTCTGTCTGTCTGTCTGTCTGTCTGTCTGTCTGTTTAGAAACTCTACCTACCTGGCTGTCTACTGCCTACAGAGATACCTTTGTTGCTAAGTTAATGATGCCATTCCCTAATAAAAGGATGATAATTGAATAAAGATCTGATTATGGTTTTGATTAACATTCAAATGGGTTCAACTATCAACAAGTTCATTTGCAGTCATTTATCTCTGAAATTAGGGAGCGTTTACTGTACATGACACGGTTTTGGCCATACACGACAGCTGTGTTTTGGGGTTTTTGAAAACTTAAAGGGGTGGTTGACTGTTTTTTTTCTAGGCTTGATTGTGTTTATGGGGTGCAGCCTAACATGTGTTAATGCTTCGTTTAAAAAAAACTAAACGCATTATTTTTCACATAATTTACCTTTATTCTACACCGCTCTGTCCCTTCTCCCATAAACGTGCTGATCATTTCCTGCTTTTATGAAGCCCCTCCCTCAGAAATGTTGTGATTGGCTAAACCGCCTCTAGTGCGCGTCTGAACGTCACGCCCCTCAGTTCAGCGGCATGTGCTCTGGCTGTATTGTAAACAATGGCGTCGTCTATGTTGCTTATCAGTTTGAGCCCGATTGAGACGCAGAGGATGTTATTGAAGAGGATTGCGCAGAACCTGTGCAAGCACGGCTCTTAATGGTATGTTTTTTGATTGTTGTTGTCTCATACTTTTAGATACGCTGTTATTTGTAAATGCTGCTGCTTCTGTTAGCTTTTAATATATGGTTTTATTTAAAGCTGATTAAAGGTTTAATACAGTACGGCAACCGCATGCGCGTCCATGTATAATGCTTCTCATAGCTATGTGAAAATAAGTGTATAAATGGAACAGTTCATTGTTGGAGCTGAGCTGAATGAGAGAGAGAGATGCAGAGCAGGGGGATGCGAGGAACAGTATTGAGAACCGCTGCTTTTTGAACATTGATTTTGAAACCTGTGAATCCATTCGAATCGTTAGACGACAGAATCACGATTCATATACTGTATGAGTAGATTTTTACATGCACCCCTAGTTTTCTCTTCCTCTTCTCTAAAGCAGCGCAGCATGGCCTCGCCCCCTTTGTTGCATGTTCCCGGGGGTGGGGTTTGTCTGGGTTTGTGATGTCACAATTCCCGGGAAGAAACTTGTTGTAGTCCCTACGAGCCGTTTTTGTAGGCATTAAACTGCCAGAATTTTAAAAGATATCGCCGTTTGCATTTAACTTTCAGCGCCGCAACTTTGCAGATGTTGTTTATGCTCAAACAGCAACATTACACACTAACTAATGTCAAAAAAGTGAAATCGCAAGCAACCACCCCTTTAAAAAAAAAACGTTTTCAAAGTGCAAGTTTTTGAAAACGATACCGTTATAGTCTCTGTGTAAACTACAAAAACACGAATTTGTTAAAACGGTGAAGTCATGCTCATGCATATTACGTGTTTCTTTTAGAAAGTGGCATCGCCAACTACTGGCCTGGCATGCATAATACAACGTTTTTGTCATTTTTGCATATCCATGTGAACGGGGATCATTTTGGCAATGTCGTTGTCTGTATACAAATCTTTAAAAAAATGTAAAGGAAAAAGCATTTCCATATATATATTTTTTTTATAGTTTTAAATATTTTTTATTTATTAAAATATATTTATATTAATATTTAATACATTTTTAATGCTTATTAAGTGTACGTCTGTGTTGCATTAAATATACAACACATTTTATGTTAAACATGATACATTTAAATTAATATTAAATATAATTATTTTATAATTAATATTATATTTGTAATTTCTTGGAAAAGTCCAAAATTCTGGGCAAAGTATAACATTTTAACCGCCTTAAAACGTGAAACTTGAAACTTAAGACTCACCCAAAAATACACAGCACACAATTTTGGGTAAAGTAGGAACATTTCTCAATATTTATGTTTACATTCTACATTTCTCTCAACTTGCTCTCTTCTTGGATTAATAATTCTGTGTAAATGTGGCTCAGGAATGCTTGACAAAGGCATGGCCAAAGCAGTAAATATTATATTTTATAGTGTGTGGGAGCTATGGTAGTGTGTGAGATTTTTTTATTACCCGTTTATGATGTTAGTTTAGGATAAAAAAATATCCTTTCAGTATTTTTATTTTCAGATGTGCAATGTATTTCTATTTACATTTGACTAAAAAAGGCATCTGAAAGAACAGCTTCCCAACTTTAGGAACAGTCTTTGCATTGCTAGTGTCATTATGATGCCTTAAAATGCTGTGTAGGCAGCTCACTAGGTTTTTCTCTCACTTCTCTCCATAGGGGCATGTGTCATGAACTCTCTCTTGTTTTGTTTCACAGTGTTGGCCGTGTCATGCTGGCTGTGTTTTTGAACTCCAAGACCACCGTGTCCATACAATACCCACATTGTGCCAGGCAGGCAGGGTTATTTTGGTCACTCTGTTTATGCTGCATTATGTGACGGACGTCTTAGTAGCTGCTGCAGGGTACAGAGTGAGACGCAGTCAACAAACAAGAAGCGCTCTTTATGTGCTAAGGGAGCAGACTAATGCATGACCCTTATCTGGCAGATTCGGCCCTCCCACAATACTGCAGTCAGCGGTGTCCCGCCGGTCCTGTAAGCTGGGGCCATAAGTCGTCAATACTCTAGATAAGGGCTACTGACACAGTTGGGAAGCTGGGTCAGGTTAAGCTTGCTTGGCTTTCTCTTCTCACCGGATCGATAGCTTTCAGGATTCAGCCCTGGTTTCTGAGAGAGCCGTTAATGAGAGTGAGCCAGCTCTCAAAAGCCCTGTCTATAATAAAAGCCCTGTTATAACACATCCAGAGTATTAAAGCGTGGTTCTGGACTGGTAAGCTAACATCATCCCTTTTTAGATAGACTTGTTTTGTGATGGTTTTGGTTTCCTCCTCCTGTGCAGGTCACGTTCCGTACGAGGATCTATCACTGCAACATCAACAGTCAGGGTGTGATCTGCCTGGACATCCTGAAGGATAACTGGAGCCCAGCTCTGACCATCTCGAAGGTCCTGCTTTCCATCTGTTCTCTGCTAACAGACTGCAATCCAGGTGAGTACAGCAACTCAGGCCCAAATCCTAAGACTAGCTTTATTAGTAAAATCAGAGGACATTAATTACATGTGCATTTTCATCCAAAAAGTGATGGTTCATCCAAAAATGAGAATTGTGTCATCATGTACTCACACCCTAATGTCATTCCAAAAACGTACTTTCTTCTGTAAAACTCAGTGGGCCTCATTCACATAGTGAAAGTTAACTTCCATACAGTAGGTCCTACATTTATTCGTAAATTTAGAATATATTTTAGTACAAAAGTTATTGGTGAAATATGATTTGTTCGTGAAAACGTTGGTACGCAGATTTTCTTACACACATTTCCATGAACAAATCATGATTCGCCAATTACTTTCGTACTAAAATTTATTCTAAATTTATGAATGTAGGAACTACCGTATGGAAGCCTGTTTCCACCATGAAATAAAAAATAAAAAGGTAATTGTGACCTTCTCACTATTCTGACATTTTTCTCGCAACTCTGAGATATAAACTTAGAATTGCGAAATGTTAACTCGCAATCGCTAGATATAAACTTGCAATTCTGAGAAGAAAAGTCCGAATTGTGAGATACTGTATAAACTCACAGTTGCAAGAAAAAAAAAGGCAGAATTGTGAGATGAAAAGTTGCAGTCATCTTTTTTATTAGAGTGATTTGATTTTTTTTATGAAAATAAATGGGCTCTGTTGTTGTCTGGACCCAACTGACTTTCAAAACATCATCTTTTGTGCTCCACAGATTCCAGACAGGTTTGGAATATCATGAGTATGAGGGAATGATGATGTAATTGTCATTTTGGGTGAACTATCCCTAGGGTGAAGTCTGGTCCTTCTATGCACAATAGGACAACCTATGAACATTGTAGACTGCATTCTTTACGTCACAGCTTGTAGTACCAAAGAAGCTAATTACATCATAAGGGATTAGCAAATTGGAAAACTTTTGGAAAATTGAAAAAAAAAACATTAAATCAGTCACCTTTTCTTGTTTATCTAATGCAAAGTTTAAAAACCTGATACAAGTTTTTAAATCACTTTTTTATACTATTTCAATCTGTTACTCACCATGAAAATAGCCAAGGAAGCTGGCATGGCATTATAACATCAACCAGCCAGTATTCATTTGCATGCTGGCAAAGCCTCAAATGGGCAAAACCAGAAACAAAGTTATAGTAAATACACGGGGGAATAAAAATATAACTTAAAAATATATTTATTTAATTTGATACCTGTTATGCCAGCAGTGCGGAAGTTCTAAGCGGCCATGCATTATTATTTTTTTCCTTCTTGTTTTCTCGTTATAACGACTTATTTTCTCGTTATATCGACATAACAAGAGTTGTTTTCTCGTTATAACGACTTAATTTTCTCGTTATATCGACATAACGAGAGTTGTTTTCTCGTTATAACGACTTTCATGATTCGCCAATAACTTTCGTACTAAAATTTATTCTAAATTTATGAATGTAGGAACTACCGTATGGAAGCCTGTTTCCACCATGAAATAAAAAATAAAAAGGTAATTGTGACCTTCTCACTATTCTGACATTTTTCTCGCAACTCTGAGATATAAACTTAGAATTGCGAAATGTTAACTCGCAATCGCTAGATATAAACTTGCAATTCTGAGAAGAAAAGTCCGAATTGTGAGATACTGTATAAACTCACAGTTGCAAGAAAAAAAAAGGCAGAATTGTGAGATGAAAAGTTGCAGTCATCTTTTTTATTAGAGTGATTTGATTTTTTTATGAAAATAAATGGGCTCTGTTGTTGTCTGGACCCAACTGACTTTCAAAACATCATCTTTTGTGCTCCACAGATTCCAGACAGGTTTGGAATATCATGAGTATGAGGGAATGATGATGTAATTGTCATTTTGGGTGAACTATCCCTAGGGTGAAGTCTGGTCCTTCTATGCACAATAGGACAACCTATGAACATTGTAGACTGCATTCTTTACGTCACAGCTTGTAGTACCAAAGAAGCTAATTACATCATAAGGGATTAGCAAATTGGAAAACTTTTGGAAAATTGAAAAAAAAAACATTAAATCAGTCACCTTTTCTTGTTTATCTAATGCAAAGTTTAAAAACCTGATACAAGTTTTTAAATCACTTTTTTATACTATTTCAATCTGTTACTCACCATGAAAATAGCCAAGGAAGCTGGCATGGCATTATAACATCAACCAGCCAGTATTCATTTGCATGCTGGCAAAGCCTCAAATGGGCAAAACCAGAAACAAAGTTATAGTAAATACACGGGGGAATAAAAATATAACTTAAAAATATATTTATTTAATTTGATACCTGTTATGCCAGCAGTGCGGAAGTTCTAAGCGGCCATGCATTATTATTTTTTTCCTTCTTGTTTTCTCGTTATAACGACTTATTTTCTCGTTATATCGACATAACAAGAGTTGTTTTCTCGTTATAACGACTTAATTTTCTCGTTATATCGACATAACGAGAGTTGTTTTCTCGTTATAACGACTTCATCTTCTCACATTTATGAATTAATTAAATGTCAGTAGCCTAATGAACAATACTGTACAAATTATAGAGATCACGAGGTCGTTCATATTCTATCCCAAACATACAGTGGACATACAGTATAGCCTAACACCCCATCAGTTATATTCAGGTCAACAGTGCCACCTGTTGGTGCAGTTTTGTAACTTAAGAGAACAACTTTTTTTAAGTCGAGATCACGAGAAAATTAAGTTGTTATAACGAGAAAACAACTCTCGTTATGTCGATATAACGAGAAAATTAAGTCGTTATAACGAGAAAACAACTCTCGTTATGTCGATATAACGAGAAAATTAAGTCGTTATAACGAGAAAACAACTCTCGTTATGTCGATATAATGAGAAAATTAAGTCGTTATAACGAGAAAACAACTCTCGCTATGTCGATATAACGAGAAAATTAAGTCGTTTTAACGAGAAAACAACTCTCGCTATGTCGATATAACGAGAAAATTAAGTCGTTATAACGAGAAAACAACTCTCGTTATGTCGATATAACGAGAAAATAAGTCGTTATAACGAGAAAACAACTCTCGTTATGTCGATATAACGAGAAAATAAGTCGTTATAACGAGAAAACAAGAAGCGAAAAAAAATAATAATGCATGGCCGCTTAGAACTTCCGTACAGCATAGAGTTTACTGTTGCCTAACCCTCAAATTAAAGGAAAATAATTTTGATTAAAAAAATCTCATCCCAAAAACAAGCCTTGTTATTTTGAACTGAAACTATTAAAAATAGTTTTCATTAATAGAAAAAAAATGAAATAAAATGTAAATATTAGATGAAAAACTCATGAAAAATACTCCAAAAGACTTAAATGAAAACTAATGGAAGTGCAATAAGTATAAATCGAAGGACCAAAATGACTAAAACTACAACAAAAATGAAATAAAGCTACATAAAAATAAAAAAGCACATACAATTATTCAAACTTGAATGAATTAAAGTGGAAGCTGAAAATATACAATGCATGGCCGCTTAGAACTTCCGTACAGCAGAGTTTACTGTTGCCTAACCCTCAAAGTAAAGGAAAATAATTTTGATTAAAAAAATCTCATCCCAAAAACAAGCCTTGTTATTTTGAACTGAAACTATTAAAAATAGTTTTCATTAATAGAAAAAAAATTTAAATAAAATGTAAATATTAGATGAAAAACTCATGAAAAATACTCCAAAAGACTTAAATGAAAACTAATGGAAGTGCAATAAGTATAAATTGAAGGACCAAAATGACTAAAACTACAACAAAAATGAAATAAAGCTACATAAAAATAAAAAAGCACATACAATTATTCAAACTTGAATGAATTAAAGTGGAAGCTGAAAATATACAAATAATAGCTAAATCAAAATATGAGTAAATACTAAAATAACACTGCCAATACATTTGATCAAATTAATTCTTTGAATACAGAAAAGATTAATAATTTTCATGTATGTATGTATGATGTTGAAGCTGATGACTGAACTTTAGACTTCATGTTGCATATTTCTAGTCAGGTTCATTTTAGGTCTTCATTGTTGTGTTGCTTGAAGTGAAGGTTTTGTCATGAGCAAGGAAAACCAGACCGAATCCTGTAAAGCCATCACGATGTTTGTCTCGAAAACATGTCAAAAAAAAGAAAAACAAGCTGTAGATTATTAGAAAGGATGTCATTTATATGAGACCCACACTCATTTCCAGTTCTGTGGTACATGCTGTTGTGAATCTGTTATATCTTTGTCAGTTTGTAATGAAGCGATCTCATTGAACGTTTTGTAGCTCAGCAGAAATGAGCCACCACTGTAACATCCCCTCGAACACAATAAAAAAAAGAAAACTGTCCCCCGGGTCAGGTGTTGGTGTGTGCTCTTTTCTCATGTCTACTGCACTCTTTACACCTACATTAAGATCCGATCAGCTCACAAATGATGGACTGTGCTGAAATAAATTCATACTTTTATTCAGCAAGGAATGGATGCAGTCAAATGGAGTCAAAAGTGACAGTAAATGCTTTTAAAATGCTACAAAAGATTTCGATTTGAAATCAAAGTATCATGGTTATCCACAAAAATAAGCAGCAACTGTTTTCAACACTGATAATAAGAAATGTATTTAAAAATACTAAAATCGTACCGACTCCAAACTGGACTGGTATTGTAAACAGGCTTTTATTATCTTGAGAGGTCAAATTTCTTTACTTTAAATTCTTTATTATGTTTTTAAAGGGCCTTATTTTCACACTTTTTTACTTTTTTTCCTAATATATGTGAATGCATTTTAGGTTCTTATTTTTAATTTATTTATTTTAACCCCTTTCAAAACCACAGCTACATATGCCTGATTTTTACAAGGGTCACATGAAATAACCGTGGTTACTTTCATTTTTAATTTTTTTGAATATAAGGTATTTTCTATTGTGTTCAGTGAAATTTTTGCGGTTAATTTTTGAGCCTGGTTGTTTGGCTGGCAGCTAATGATTATTTTGATAATTGATTAATCTGGCTTTTTTAAAGTAATTGCATTAAAAAAAAGAGTTGTTTTCTGTAACTCATTGAAAA